GACTCGCTCGTCGATCTGTCGGCTCGCCTAAACGAAGGCAACTTGTCCAACAAGCGCTCGTCGGGAAATCCCACGACCTCTCGGCATATAAGCCCGTCAGTAGTATCGATCGAACTCGACCTGCACGAACTCGCCCACACTCGGGCGCGTGCCCTCGTCGAACTCCGACTTACGGCCAACAAGCCTATTGACAGTGCAGCTGCACTTACGCGTTGGTAACAGAGACCCTTGCGCTAATACCTTACCAAGTCGCCTGGTGTCGCTGTCGGTGGTGGCGGAATAGCGACCGTCGCATGAGGCCGCGGTGGCTGTGGGGCTTGAGCTCTTGCTTCTCAACAGAGAAGTCGGGGGTTCAAATCCCGGCGGTGGGCTGGTTTTTTCCCGAGGATTTTTTCTGCGGGGTTTGCACCGTTGGGTGTATACCATGGAAATGTTCCTTGGAAAAAAGCCGGTGTACTTCAACTGAGGTCTCTGGTGTTGGGGGTCACACCATTATCAAAGCGTAACTTCAGTGGTATGGGAGGCGCAACCATATCGACTATAGGTACACGCTAATACACTAACACACACACTTACATATACACGCAAGACCCACCGTTAGGTAGAACGGTGAGGTTGGCCAATTAGCCTAGTAGCAGAAAGGGCCGTAATCAACTAAAAAAAAAAAGCGACCGTCGCAACTGCCGAGCTCATCACAGCTCCATCCTCATAAACAATTTATGATCCAATGGATCAAAATTGACAAGATAAAGACAATAATAGAAATCAATTATTAAAAATTGCGTCACAATCAAATTAAAAATCAATTAATTTTTATTAAAAATGCTTACGAACTAATTAAATGGTCGCGCAACGGCGCTAAAACAAGAGAATAATAGAGCGAGAAACAGCACTTAGCTAATACTAATAATACGCAACGGCGCTTAAAACTAGGAACAAAAATAGAAAAGCGCGGAAATGCGTTCGCAAGGATCGGCGCTCGGCTTGATGTTACTGCGCTTAAACTAAAATAAAAAATAAATATAAAAGTACCGGCGCGCGAGAGCGCAGCGCGCGGATTGACGTAAATGTCCCGCAGCGACGTAAAGCAAAAACAAGAATGAACATTAGAACATTAGAAGTGCCGCGCGCGCGACGACGCTTAAAGCTAAGGAATGGGCAAAAAAAACGCCGCGCAACGATGCTTAAACTAGAGAGAATAAACATAAATAACCACGCGCGAGGATGCAGCGCGTGACCTACATGCAAATGATGCGCAACGGCGCTTAAACTATTAAATAGCGCACGAAGGAGCGGTGCCTAAACAAATGTCACATGCGCAACGGCGCGGAGCAACGGGAACCAAAAAACCGCGCGATCGGTCCGTCGAACAATTCGCGGAATTCAGTCGGAGCGGCAAAACAACAAACAGGGGAGAGGCGACCTTTGGCACTTGCGATCAGGAGCAGATTGGGCTCCCTCCCCTTTTGTTTACTTAACGCCGAATGTCCGGCGGGCTGCTCTCCAGAATTCTCCTGCAGAGGATGGCGTCCCGGTTCAAGATGACTACTCTTGTGCATGTATCACAATGCCAGGCGCCTACCACGCGCCATGCGGGCAAGTTGCAGCCAGGGCAGGTTCCGCACTGCTCGCGTAAAGCGCCTTTCAGGCCGGTCTTGTGGATGAGGACCTCCCGCAGGCCAGGGTAGTGCTTGATGTCCTCAAAGCAGCATATGCTCCTCCATGCCCCAGTCGGCAGTATGAACGCCCAGAGTAGCGCGTGGTCGCAGTCGTTGACGATTGGAAAGTCGGGCCGAAACCCGTTGAAGAGATACTCGAGGAGTTGCCTCTCCTGCAGCGGTATGTCCTCCGGCCGGCCGAGAGCGCGTTCCCCCTCGAGAAAACGCGGGTTTGGCTGCCTCATCAGCACCATTCTGTTGAGATGTTGGCGGCCGACTCTCCACTCCATCACCTGCTCTGGTATTGCGATCGGCGCTCGCGGTTGTTCTACACGGCGCAGCCAGGCGTTGACGTCGAATGGTGCAGGTAGTTGGTCGATCGCTGCTCCTTGGTTGACCTCCGGGTCGGGCGACGCGGGCGCCGCGGCTACCTGGAGCTCGTTGGCGCGTGGAGGCTGTTGCTCGCGCTGCGCAGCGGCTCGGGCGTCCTCGTTAGGTGAGGCATATCCGTCCGCGCTTTCACCGAGCCCGCTGTGTGCAGCGGAGCTGCCAGCTTCACTTTGATTCTCGGCGGAGACACTGCTGCGTACACTCTCGTCCGATACTCTGTCGTACGACGCTGCGTCCATGACGATGACGTCGTTGAATGCGGCGTCGTCGTCAGGGTTGAGCTGGGGTGCATGGGCAGGTGGCTGGCGCGGCAACTCCGCCAGGAACTCCACGTCGTTGTTGGCGACAGAAGCTTGGTGCTCTACCTCCATTAGCACGTCATTATCGGCGACGTTAATGATTTCAAGCACTATCTGCACGTCCATTGTGTCCGCCATTAAAACTTTAAAAATTTTTGCACGGTATTGTTTGAGAGTTGTGCGTTCGCTGCGGGAGCTCGCGAGCAAGTGCGGCGCTCGAGTCGAGTGCACATGTTTCCGCACATATACGCACGTGTCTTGTTCGCCGCGCGAGACCGACGCGCTCAACGGTCGAACCTTCCTTACAGGCCCGCGCGGAGGACTGCTCGCGCTCGCTCGCGCGCAAAAATAAAATTGGGCAAGAAAGAAAGAGAGCAGGCCCCTATCCCCGCCTGCTCCAGTGAGATACGTCCAAAGTTAAATTGTCAAAACTGATCTCTCCTTACTTTCTCTCGTACCTTACAAGAAATGCCAAATGCTTTATTTACGAAGCGGAGTTACATGGAGTCCCGACATTATCGGCGCGAATACATGCCTTTTTTAATTTATCTAAATGAACTACTCTTGTTTTGTGCGCATACAGTTGCAACTCCGCGTTCCTCTTTCCGATTAATTTATTTATGATGTACGGCCTTATATAGTGATCGTCTAACTTGCTCGTTTTTACGTTTTTAAGTAGATATACGTAATCTCCCTCATTGAATTCGTGGTCGTAGCTTTTTAAGTCGTAGTAGTATTTGGAGCGTTCCTTGGCTGCGATCAGATTTTCTCGCGCTTGTGCTTGCGTAGTGTTTAGCTTACTTAAAGTCTCATCTAAATACTCATTAAATGTCTTCGCGATAGTTTTGTCCGCGAACTCGCTAGGTATGCACGCCTTGCGACCGAAAACTAGCTCATGTGGCGTGAAGCCATGGCCCGAGTGCACTGATGAATTATATGAAAAGAGCGCGCACCTGATCCAAGCGTCCCAGTCGTCTTTATTCATGAATATTTTCAAATACTCAATTAACGAGTGGTGACTTCTTTCGAGCGATCCTTGGGTTTGTGGTCGGTAGCTAGTCGAACGAAATTGAGTTATCTTAAACGTGCGAGCAAGCGACAAAAATACCTTTCCGATAAGGTTTTGGCCCTGGTCGGTGCGTATGTATTTCGGACACCCTTATCGGCAGATGAACTCATTGGCAAATGCAGTCGCGATCAATTCCGCCCTGACGTCCGGGAGAGGTATCGCTTCCAAAAATTTAGTGAGATTACACTGTATCGTCAATATGTATTTATTGTTGGAAATTGTTACTGGTAGCGGGCCGACTATGTCGATTTCAATGAGCTCAAACGCTTCGGTCGGAGTAGTCGTAATCGTAAGCGGGAGTGGAGTTTTTATTGGCGTCAGCTTTTTCGTCTGACAGATCGGGCATGATTTTACGTATTCCGCTATCTCGTTTTTCATCCCCTTCCAAAGGTATTTTTCGCGAGCGCAGTTATATGTCTTAGTTATTCCTTTGTGACCGGCGGTCGCGGAGTCGTGAGATTCGTGAATTATGCGAGGTCGCGATTCGACATCCGGCGTCGTTATCTAGCCGGAGCAAAGGGTTAATTTAGCCGCGTCCTCATGCCAGGTTTCGCGTAGGCGAGCGCTTATCATTTCCCATGAGCGGTTGTCAATCCCGTTGTTATTCGTCGGTATACTGATTGATCCGATTTCATAAGTTTTGAGTGCGTCCGCAAGACGGTCGAGAGCGTCGTTTACGATATCGATATCTACTACGTCGTCGTGATTTTCCTTCACAAAAATAGAGAAGAGACTTTTGTCCACGGGTAGCCCTGTCTCGATAATTAGACCGAGTTTGATGTCGTGTTCCTTTAATAAATCTACCTGTAAGTACCCCATATCAGTGAGCTGATGGCAAATATCTGAGTGCGAGATGCAATCAACCGACATAAAATGCACCCAATTATCTTTCCTTGTCAGAAGCGTATCGTTGCACTGCTGTACGGATTTGGCAACGAGCAGCCGTGCTCTTTTCGGGTGACTACGAGTGAACGTCGCTTCGTTCTCTGACTCGTCGGAGGTGGGGTCGTCAGTCGCGTCTTCGCTACATGTACAGGGCCTGTCCTCGCTCGCGGGTGAGTCAGACGATGCCTCCTCGGTGGCACTTCCCGAGGTTGCGTCGTTCGTCTCCGTGGGAGCATTTTGGTCTGGAATAGGAGCCTCGATCGCGAGTTGCATCCCTTGTAAGCCGTTGTTCTGTCGCTCCAAAGCATAATCGAGCTCGGGGTCGCTCTCCGGGGTCGTCGGGCGTAAAATAAAAAATACTCTCCCAATCTCGACTCCGAGTTATGCATTTAGAACTCGTTCTAAAAAGTTGCCTCGACCTGCGCTCGGCGATGTTCGTTACTCTCCGCGACTTACTGTAACGGTTTTGCCAATCCGGGCAAGATGTGGCCCGTTCAATCTTCTTGACGGCTGAAAAAAGAGTCAGGATTGTCTCAATAATCAGGCGTATTAATTAATAGTAAAAGTTACAATAAGGTGATTTATTTTGCGCCAGTCACAGAGGTGACGCCTTATCAAGGGCCAAATGATTTACAATTAAATATAATACAAAGAGTACAATGATTAAGTTTACGACTCGATTTAGTTCGCTTCGGCTAAATGACGACTCTACTCAGTGGGCGAAGATCGAGATTTTACGGGAATTCACGACGAGAGAGAGCACTATTTGGCAGGCAAATGCTTGAAACGCGACTTACTTGTTGTTGATTCAAGCTGTGGATGGCGAAATACACCGGGCGACCTGGACCCAAGAAAGCGCTAGCAGGACCTTGGCAGCGGAAGACAGCCCGTCGGCAGCAACGTAGCAGCTCACACACACTCGCGTATTATAAAGGTAGCGAGGCGCAGTATCACCGACAGGGTATTTCGTACACGTTCGCGCTATAGGGCTCCCAGAGACAGAGTGCCTCACGCTGATCACAAGCCCGCTATACAGGCCCAAGGCACCAGAAGCGTTGTCTGCTCCTCATCATCGTTGGTAGTGGTCTCGCGAGCACAGACGGTCTCGATCACGTGACCCTCATTTTAGTGTCTTGCTCTCCTTGCCCGATATACCTCTCTCTCGCGGTCGCTTCGCATACGCATCGACTCGCGTAATCATTATGTCGCCACGGACTTCAAGGTGAAGGAAAGGAAAGGGATTATCACCCACCGGACTCTGCTCTGGCCGATGTGTCGCGTAACACGTCATCGTGTTACATTACATATATATGTAGGAACGTAAGGATGGAGAGAAATATTAGTATCGTGAGGAGCTTTATTGATTCGAGACTTGCTCGTCTCGGAGGCAGCAGATAAACTGGCAGTCGCAATTAATTAGTTTTATCGCCTGGCAACGATAAAACAAAAGGTGAACATTTAGCAGTTCAATTACTTACATTATACATGTACGACTGTGGTGAAGTGAGTCGCCACATATATAGCTGCTCGCCACCAGTGCTATTCTGTGCTGTGCATTGGACTTTCAAAACAAGTCGATTGGTTACGAGTGTCCTTGTGCCCAAGTTTATTCAGTGAAAGTAGTCATTTGAATCAGCAAAATGGTTTTGCTGTCCCAGCAAAATCATTTAGCTGACGCGGCAAAAATTTTTGTTGCTGCAGAAAAATTATTTTGCTGGGGCAGCAAAAGATATTTTGCTGATCCTGTCCACTTTCGCTGGATTTGGGATAAAATTGTTTTCAGTGTATACTGCTGTTGCGTCTACGCAAATCACACGCGGTAGTTGAAATGTTAATTTAGGTACGTTCGATTAAAACAACAGTAAAATTCAAATTTCTTTTAAAGTAGATGTTATTCGACCGTCTACTCCAGTAGAGTAAATCAAAGTAGACTCGGTATTGCAGTACGGGGATCGCGGAGATGGACTTATTTCGTTTGACCGGGAATCGTTTGCAGCAAAATGGACTTATCTCGTTAAGCACGGTGTTATATTTAACGAATGGTGCTATTTTCAGCATTTGTGACACTTGTACCTTAAAGTAGATATAACATATAGGTAATTTATGTCATAAACTCGATTTCGAAAAAATGGAGTTATCTCGTTAGCCCTTTCCACCACAGTTTTTAATTAACATTTTAAATTTTTTTTACCTTTTCCGTGCGAGTTACAAAACGACCGATTCAGCTGTTTTGATCACTCCCGAGAGGTACTGGGTCAACAATAGTGATTCGCCACTTGAAACATAATAAATTCATTGATATAAGAACACTCTTTGCCCGAATTATACGTTAGGCTATCTGAAATAAGTACGAAGGTTGTTTCAGTACAGGCCACACAAACCTCTGGCGGTAATCGACGTCACAATTCTTAAAACTAAATTAATGATTTTGAAATATACATTGACGTTTGAAAAACATATCATTTCTCATGAGCATTTTTCTATTTAGATCAATTAAAATCAGCATTACTAATTGAAGCTACTTGGTGGAAATCAACTTTGGGGTCAAAATTATTAAAAAAATACGTGGAAAAATTACATGTACTATCTGATTACATCAAGGACAACATAAAACAACTGGGACGAGAAATAAAAGATCTTGAAGACGTCAGGATTTCTATGTTATGTTTAGAAAAAATTAGAGAAAATTTTATTACCATAGATAGAGAATTGATGTTCATTGAAAAAATTTATGCTTTGATTTTAAAGTTTGAAATAGAAATATCAATTGAAGATCAAGAAATTATAGAAAGTACAAGATATAATTTCATGATTATGATAAAAACTGCAAAAGAGGTCCACACTACAATATGTAATATGCAAGAGCCATTAAAACAAGAACTTGTTCAAGGAATAAATGATTTTAAAATAGAAATATCAGAGTTTGACAAAAATTTTAGTGCAAAGGGACCTATGATTGAAGGAATTTCGGCGAAGGAAGCAAGTGAAAGGTATAGTATAAACCTAGTCTACGTAACTTTCCTTTTTTTACTACTAAAAATATTTGTAACAAATTTAATAACTAGGTATTTTGTGAAAAAATTGAGTGTTATATCAAGTGTTATATCTTCTTCCTACAAGTAGTTTGTTTGCGTTTTTGCCGCTGTGTGGCAACGGAGCGCCACAGTGGCTAAGACAAGCGAGTAAATTTAGTTAAGGGGACACATACACCTCATAATCCTTTTTATTCCATTAAAAAAAAAGACCTAAAATATAAATTGATATTGGTCAACTTTGAGGATTCTTACTAATCCTTGAAACAAAATATTTTCACCCCCCACATACTAAAAGTGTCTTTAAATTTACAGGAGGTACCAATGACTAAGAAATTTCAAATTAAATTGTATGTCTATGTACCATAATATTTAAGTTCAAGCAATGATCTGTTCAAGTTCCTGAAGCGCTCTATTTGTTTGTTGCCACAACGACTATGGTCACTACCTCAGACAAAGTGTTAGCACCATCAAAAGTCTCTGTGTGACTATAATTGTGAAAATATTTTAATTAAGTGAAACAAAATTTTAAAAAAATGTTAATTTTATGCAAAAATTATGGTTTTAACTTATTGGATAGTTTTGCTCGAGGTAGCGACCATAGGCATTGTCACGCACGCGATTCGCAGAATGGAGCAATAATCCGTTGCCACGTAAAAAAAAAAAAAAACGTGGAGATCCGGCCTGTGACACAACTTACGTGTCCCGACAATCAAGCCCGTTCGAAAGTGCACCCGCGAGTCCAAGTCGTAAATACTATGCGCACCCGCGACATACGGCGCTACTCGTTCAAGCGAGTTAGGGCCGTGCACACCAGGTACACGCACTTGCGACATACCACGTCACAAAATTACACCCGACGCGACTTCCCCGATTTCAGGACCACCGTTGATGTGGTCATTGTCACGGCTAAAGTCGATCTCGCTGCGCTACTCGCACTCGCGTGGCTCACAAGTGCAACTTGATCACCAATTCGTCGCCCTTGCTCCGAAAATCCTACAATGAAACATCATGCTTACCGCGACGCTCTGGTCGCTCACACATACGCACTCACTCTCATGTGTAGCTGCTACTACTGCGTGAAAGAAAAATATGATAATTCAGCATATTTTACAGTAATACTACTGAGGTGGAGACAGAGCGGTGACGGCGTAACGCGCTCGTCACAGTACGACGAGGACAAGTAATATTATGTGGTCATCTCACTCTTTCTCTCTCTCTCTCTCTCTATTGAACTGGGAACACGCGTTTGTCTCGCGCTCCGGTGTCTTTGGTCATTGTGGACGTAGTTCTTGCTCGAAAAATTCGGTTTTTGTATCAAGGTGAAGTGCTTGGCACGCGTATGAATTTTGGTTGATATATCCTTGTTTTTTTAAGCTGCCTACAGCTAAAAATCGCAAATCTAAACTTTGAAATTTTTAAGCGACTAATAACTATACTGTGAATCAGTGTTTACGTTGGCTTTTCGTTGTGGCTTGTTTACGTTTATGACTCTGTGTTGTCGAGATAGCCGTTGGTCGCGACAAATGACAGAAATTTAAATCGCATACGTATTGTGCTGCGAAATCAACGACTTGAGTGTTTCATCGTCTGCTCGTTCTGTGTCAAGCAGATGCAAGCAAAGCAGATGTCAAGCAGCACGGATTGCGGCGCTTGCTACCACGACGATTGCTTACCTCGACTAAACACCAGGTTGGTCAAAGCCTGCTGTGTTCGGCTTGCTGAGGGTGGTGATTTGGATTTCGACGGTGCAGCTGAACGGCGTCGTGCTGATTGCGAGCTTGCGGTGTCTGCGGTTCGCGTCGACGCACGAATTGCTTTTTTGGACTCCCATCGCGACTTTTCAATCAATTCGGGCTTCTCTCAGATGGACATGAGTGTGGCGACGGATCGGATGCTTATAGCGCTATTCTGGCGGGGCAGAAATCGCTCGAGGCCATGGTGGACAGCGCCGAGGATATGGAGGAGTACCGCTTTTCCGGCAATAATCCGGCGCCGAGGAGGGACGACGCGCGGCAGGCCGTGCGAACCTTTTCATTCGTAGTGACGTTCAAGCTGCCGATTACAAGAAATTACATACTCCGATGCAAACGCAGGCATGGCCTCATCAAGTACTCGGACATTCAGCGGGATGGACCGGATGCGGAAATTCGACTGCATAAACTTTTGCCTGGACCTGTATACAAGCTGTTCCGGGCGGCCAAGGAGCGTGGCCGTGAGCGCAAATATGCACTCGTCTGGGCGGACGACGGACGTGTCTTCGCTCGCAAGTCTGCGGGCTCCGAGCGCATTGAGCTCGTGAACGAGGTGGATTTGAACAAGCTTGCATGACTGGTGGCCAATCTTCGCCGCCTCCAGGCCCTGGCAGCGGAGACTCGTATCCACCGCGTGTAGCACAGGCCAATGTCTACTCGGTGCGAAGGAATCTCGAGGCTATCGAGCGACCAACGGCAACTCTCAGATTGGACCTGTTCTCGATGTGTGAGATTTGGCTCACCCCCGACATCGACAATGGTGATGTGGCGATCCCAGGCTACAGGCTTGTCCGATGTGAACGGGCACTTCTTATACCTCCGCGCTCTTGCAACAAGTGGGTCCAAGGTGGCAGTGTAGCGTGCTACATTCGAGAGTCACTAAAATTCAAAATACTCAAGGCGCCTAAGATTGCTACCGTGAAAACCCCTGAATTTCTCGCGGTCGAGCTCCTGCTGCATGGTCGTCCCACCCTAGTTGTCTTAGTCTACATTCTGGAAGGTATTTTTCCAAATAACGTGTTGGACTTCTATTACTCGATCTGCCACAAATACCAACGGGCAATTATAGCAGGAGATTTTAACATTAATATGTTGTCGTAGGAGTGTAACTCAAATCATCTGAGAGAGCTGACGGGAGCTTGTGGTCTCTCTCTCTCTCATCCCATCCGGCCCAACAAATCACACCACCACTGCCGACACGTGGATTGACCTCATCTTATGATGGTATGACGGTGTTGATGATGCCACAGGCGTTCGCGGCTTCCACAAATCTCAGGTCCCGTTCGCGGACACACATGATCTGCTTTTCTTTGAATACTTCATTGGCGAAATTTTAGTAGCCTGTAAAACCATAACTGCGCGCCGTTTTTCAAATTTTAAAAAAGATGTTTTTAATCTTCACCTTCTTGAGAAATTAAATTCTATGCTATTCTCCATCGATGGTGCAGCACAGGAGGAGTCGGCGCTTCACAACTTCAACACTAACATTATTGACCTTTTCGACATTCATGCACCGCTTGGAACCGTGCAGCGCCGTAGTCGACCGGCACCATGGTTTACGCGGGCTGCACCGCTGCACTTTACCGCTGCAGGGTTCGCGATAGGCTATTCGCGATTTCACGATACTATGGCGCCGCCTAGCGACACGCTCCGAAATAAAAAAGAAACGAGTGTTTACATATTTTAACATGGGAAATTTGCAAAGATTCTTCTTAATAAATATTTAATAAGTGAATAGCGTATATTTGATAATAAAAAATGAAACTTCTATTAATAATGAATTTTTAAAAAAAAAGTTTTCATTATAAAGTTTTGTCAAATTCAAATAATTGAATTATGAAATGTGGCGGACACAGTCGATTCACAGTGAGCGCAATTTTTTTGTTTATCTCAATGTATAAAACAACGAGAAAACGTTCATTGCACTTGGTGTGTATTGATACTAGCTCATTCCTGCTCGATAATAGTTCTAGAATTACTTATTATATGTTTTTTAAGCTTTAATATGGAAAATAATAGTTCAAAATTAGAAATCGATATGGTCGATGTATACAATATTTTAGGCAATGCACTTAGACCTCTTGATGAGGGTGAAGCCGTATTAGCTGGCCACATTTTGCAATCTCGCACAGAACAGTACTTATTCACTTTTTTTAGCACTCATTTTTAATTAACACTTTGATAAAATATAAACGATAATGTAACCCTTTCTTCGTGGTAAGAACAGTTAGCAGAAAACGTTACTATTACGGATCGGTTTGCTGTATGTTGACTTTTTATTAATTCAAAATTATGATAAACGAAAACTATTAAATAAAAACTATATTTTTTAAGGTATTTAGTACTCTGAATCTTCATTTTTTATTGTTAATTTCATGCTCTGAACTCGTTAAATATTTTAAAAAAATTATTTTCTTTTTTTTCCAATGTTATTTCGCATTTTTACTCGGTTCTTTTTAACTAGCAAGTTTAGCCGCTAGGCGGCGCCATAGTATCGTGAAATCGCGAATATGCGCTCGCTCGTCGATCGGGCGATGCGGCTGTGCTCGCGCGCTACCGTGAGGTCCGTAGGGTGCTCAGGCGTGACATCGAATACGCCAGAGAGCAGCATCTTCTCGCTGACCTCTCTGCCTGTATGGATGATGCGAGGCGTTGGACGTACCTTCGAGGTCTTGGCCTCATTTCGGTCGAGCATTGATCGCACCCTCTCTGCTCGCCTGAAGAACTGCAGAACATCATCGACACGCCGAGTTCGATGCTCACTGCGTGACAGAAGTAAGGGTCGTGGCGCACGTGGACGTAGCCTCGATGGAGTTTCGTTCTCATACCTGCAACACTCGCTTGAGATCGTCGCACCATACCTGGCGACGATCTTTAATGGTTTTATCGTCTCTGACTCTTACCCGACGTCATGGAAACGGTCTACCATAGTGCCACTGAGTAAGGTCGCCAGGCCTGCCTCGCCCTCTCAGACTCGCCCGGTTGCCAATCTAGCTCACATACACAGCAGATATCCAGCTACCTCGAGAGCCGTGACCTACTTTCTTCACGGCAATCTGGATTTCGGCCCGAATATAGTACCCAATCAGCTCTTATCAGGATCATGGAGGACATGCGGAGGGCGATAGAGGACGAGAAAGTAACTGTGTTGGTCCTGTTCGACTTTAAGTGTGCTTTCGATACGATCAATGCGGCTGTTGCACT